ATGGCAGTATTGTATAGGGTTGGGACAAGGTCCTCATGAAGACTGTATGTGTGATGTTTCAGTAGCTTGATTCATAGGTTCAAATATGAGAGTAGAATTTCCCAATAACCCTAATGATCTCCAAGCAAAATTGATTTCTGTTCTTGAGACTCTAGGCTTTTCTGACCTAGAAGTCTCCATTTTAGAAGAAGTAATGCTTCCAACAGGAGATAAAATAATGATTAAGCATAAAATTAAGACTGTGAGCTTGTCACTTTGGTTTCACAATTCTGCTGATTTGGTGAACAAACCAAGGATTGACAGTGTTGACTAGAATGAGTGATTCTAACTACCAGGGAAATGTGACTATGGCTCTACAAGAGAGGTAAGTAAGACCACATTGGAAGAGGGTATCTCTAATGGTGTCTCTTAACACTATGCCATAGTTAAGGCCAATGGGAAACTTCAACAATACACAATCCACTTCTACAATACTCAGTCTAACAATACGCAACTATATGTATTTGACCAAATGGGACTCCTAATGGCTCAGAATACATGTGTATAAACATTCAGAAAGTGAGAGAGAGAGAGAGAGAGAGAGAGAGAGAGAGAGAGAGAGAGAGAGAGTCTGAGAGATCTTTTTATCTGGAGGACCCTAACACAACTAGCATCACTATACATTAAGTGAATTTGTTTTTTCTTTGAAAATTAGTAGAAAATACTATAATAGAATTGTTAGCTGTTACCATAAAATAAATATCACATAGAAGGTACCTTAGAATTTATAAACATCACATTAATTCAGCAATTGGAACATGTTATGCAAAAATTTAGGAATGATGTTCAAGTGTCTGTCCATCTTGACAATATTTTTTGTAATTGACTGAAATTCTTCCTATTACTGAATGTGGCTGTAGAATTTTGATTGTCTGTTATTGCTTTTAATCTTCATTTGAAATAAAAATTATAAAGTGTTTCAGAATATTTCATATTTGAAACCAATGTGCTACTGAATTCCTAATCCACTTGACCAAACAGGGAAGACAGTAGTACAAAGGAGAGGGTTGAAACTAAGAATATTTGCATATTGTTGTTTAAGTAGAGAACGTAGGGGGTATTGAAACTATGCTTAGACTGGTACTTAATATACCTTGACATTATAAAGCTTTTCCTTTCTGTTTATATGATTCTCTAAGTATGATCTTGTGAGAGAAATTCAAGCATGGCTGAGCCAAGTGAGCTGCATACACATCTCCTAGCATGCTAGGGGATACTCAGGAGTTTGAGCATGGTCACTCTCATGTGTTGAGACTAGTTAGGAGCTTGATGAAGAATGTCCTGTTCCTCCTATTCACTGCCTCCATTGCTCACTCAAAAGATCACCTTATATAGAAATATGAGAGCATCAACCAATCACGTTATGCCCAGCATACAGTGTCCCTACCCTTGCTCCTTGATTATATAAGTGATTGCTCTGCCTATTAACAATGGAAGTGTTCCAGAAACCTCCCTGGAGTCTGCCTGGTGATTCCATGCCTCACCCTCCCAATCCGATCTTCAGAACCAGAGTACCTGTATGACAACAAACAGACAAACAACAACGTCATCTGAAGTCAATATTAATTTTGCTAACTGAGATAGTCTGGTGGTGAAGTCAATATTTCTGTTTTGACACAATCCTTATAGATGATTCCAATACCCACTAAACTTTAAGACACACTGTTTTAAAATGGCATCCCCTCAAAATAAAATGTCTGGAGCAGAGAGGTTTGGTACATATTTGAGGCACACACTCAGTAAAGTCCTATCAAATATAGATCTTGAGAAAAGTTATGTTTGATGCAACCTTTCTCATTTACTTGAACAGAACAATTTCCATGTTAAAGATTTTATAAATGACAATAAAAGTATATAGTGTACACATAATACGTAAAGAAGAATTAAGAATTCTTTTGAATATTCAAGTTAAAAATTGGCCACACCACCACAAAATTGTCTTTTGTGCTATTAGTGCGTCCGTGAGATTATTCTTAGCCAGTATCAAGAGATTTCTATACAACTTAGTTAAATGACTATCATCCTTCAGCTCTAAATACTCATAAATATATGAATTTACATTATTTCATGGAAAAACAAAACATCAAATATTTTATTAAAAGTAATGGATTGGCAAATGTGTTTATTTTGTCTCATTCCTGGTATCCCACATTTTAGAAAACAGTGTGTATGAAGGAAAGAACCTATGAGAACCAGAAGTGAGAATGGGATTACATCAAAGGCAGTGATTTTGGTGAATTTGTGGAAGGCATAAAATATTAAGTTTCAATTGAAGAACAAAGTCTAACAATACGCAACTATATGTATTTGACCAAATGGGACTCCTAATGGCTCAGAATACATGTGTATAAACATTCAGAAAGTGAGAGAGAGAGAGAGAGAGAGAGAGAGAGAGAGAGAGAGAGAGTCTGAGAGATCTTTTTCTCTGGAGGACCCTAACACAACTAGCATCACTATACATTAAGTGAACTTGTTTTTTCTTTGAAAATTAGTAGAAAATACTATAATAGAATTGTTAGCTGTTACCATAAAATAAATATCACATAGAAGGTACCTTAGAATTTATAAACATCACATTAATTCAGCAATTGGAACATGTTATGCAAAAATTTAGGAATGATGTTCAAGTGTCTGTCCATCTTGACAATATTTTTTGTAATTGACTGAAATTCTTCCTATTACTGAATGTGGCTGTAGAATTTTGATTGTCTGTTATTGCTTTTAATCTTCATTTGAAATAAAAATTATAAAGTGTTTCAGAATATTTCATATTTGAAACCAATGTGCTACTCTATTCCTAATCCACTTGACCAAACAGGGAAGACAGTAGTACAAAGGAGAGGGTTGAAACTAAGAATATTTGCATATTGTTGTTTAAGTAGAGAACGTAGGGGGTATTGAAACTATGCTTAGACTGGTACTTAATATACCTTGACATTATAAAGCTTTTCCTTGCTGTTTATATGATTCTCTAAGTATGATCTTGTGAGAGAAATTCAAGCATGGCTGAGCCAAGTGAGCTGCATACACATCTCCTAGCATGCTAGGGGATACTCAGGAGTTTGAGCATGGTCACTCTCATGTGTTGAGACTAGTTAGGAGCTTGATGAAGAATGTCCTGTTCCTCCTATTCACTGCCTCCATTGCTCACTCAAAAGATCACCTTATATAGAAATGTGAGAGCATCAACCAATCACGTTATGCCCAGCATACAGTGTCCCTACCCTTGCTCCTTGATTATATAAGTGATTGCTCTGCCTATTAACAATGGAAGTGTTCCAGAAACCTCCCTGGAGTCTGCCTGGTGATTCCATGCCTCACCCTCCCAATCCGATCTTCAGAACCAGAGTACCTGTATGACAACAAACAGACAAACAACAACGTCATCTGAAGTCAATATTAATTTTGCTAACTGAGATAGTCTGGTGGTGAAGTCAATATTTCTGTTTTGACACAATCCTTATAGATGATTCCAATACCCACTAAACTTTAAGACACACTGTTTTAAAATGGCATCCCCTCAAAATAAAATGTCTGGAGCAGAGAGGTTTGGTACATATTTGAGGCACACACTCAGTAAAGTCCTATCAAATATAGATCTTGAGAAAAGTTATGTTTGATGCAACCTTTCTCATTTACTTGAACAGAACAATTTCCATGTTAAAGATTTTATAAATGACAATAAAAGTATATAGTGTACACATAATACGTAAAGAAGAATTAAGAATTCTTTTGAATATTCAAGTTAAAAATTGGCCACACCACCACAAAATTGTCTTTTGTGCTATTAGTGCGTCCGTGAGATTATTCTTAGCCAGTATCAAGAGATTTCTATACAACTTAGTTAAATGACTATCATTCTTCAGCTCTAAATACTCATAAATATATGAATTTACATTATTTCATGGAAAAACAAAACATCAAATATTTTATTAAAAGTAATGGATTGGCAAATGTGTTTATTTTGTCTCATTCCTGGTATCCCACATTTTAGAAAACAGTGTGTATGAAGGAAAGAACCTATGAGAACCAGAAGTGAGAATGGGATTACATCAAAGGCAGTGATTTTGGTGAATTTGTGGAAGGCATAAAATATTAAGTTTCAATTGAAGAACAAAGTAGAGAGGAAGAATCTGTAGAAATGATGTGTGAGAAAGCTCGAGAGAAAGTCTGAGCTTCTGAGCAGGCCTCAGACACTTCTTCTATGCTGTCATTTTTTATCTATGTCCATCCATACTTATTTATTTAATCTATTATCTTTCTGGATTAATGATGTTTTTTAGATTTCTCAGAAACAAACCAATACACCTGTAAAAGGCCTTTTACAAAGCATCAGAGGCAAAGAGATGTGACACACCTCTTTTCAGTACTCAAAAACTCTAAACTAAGAATATCTTCTTAGTGTTTCCCATGACTATGCTGTTTTTAAGTCTCTTCTCATTGTTAAGATTATGTTCAAGGCTTTGTTTGTATTTCTGTGTGATATATGAGTTCAATCCTTCCAAGAAGTGGAACCCACCATTTCTCAAAACAAGTGGAATAAAAGATACTTTTGAAGCTTAGCGGTATTCCTAGATTTTCTTCTCATTCACAGACAAATCTTCCACCATGATGTAAATATGTTATGCTTCCCAAGCTATATGTCATTATAAACTTTGTACTTTTATTATACCAAAGTCCATTTGAAAAGAGATTCTTATTAGTACTCTTGCATTTATAATGTAAGAATAAAACCTTTGAAATGATTTCACTTCTTTTCAACTTACTTTTTCTGAGGTCATGAATAATATGTAAAAATTCTTTATGAGCAAATAACACAGATATTTTAAGGAAGTAATAAAGTACAAAATATGCAATTCATAACATTATAGAACTATGATTACAATAATTTGGACTACTACCCAAAACATTCATACTTTCTTCAAAATATATTTGAATTAAAAGAGTACACATTATGAAATTTAAGCATTTCTCTTTAACATCTTTCTCAGTGAATCTGTGACTTGCTTATTTCTCAGGCTGTAGATAAATGGATTTAACACGGGGATTATGACAGTGTAGAATAGAGAGAAGATCATATCCTGATCATTTGCTTGTGAAGATGTAGGATGCACATACATGAAGAGAAGGGGGGCATAGTATAAAGTCACAGAAAACAGATGGGCTCCACAGGTGTAGAAGGCTTTGCTTGCACCCTTTTCAGACTTCTTTTGTAAAATAGTAAAGAGTACAAATGAATAAGAGACAAGAATAGTCACAATGCTGAATACTTGGATTGAACCAGAGAAAATGAAAAGCATTAGGTAATTAATAGAAGGATCAGTACAGGAAATCTTTGTCAGTGGTATGACATCACAATAAAAGTGATGTATTATGTTGGAATTACAGAACGTTAATCTGAATAAAAAACTTTCATGAATTAAGGCATGAAGAAAGCCACCTACAAATGATAGAACTAATAGCTGAGTGCATCGTCTATTGGTCATAATCACTGGGTAAAGTAAAGGTTTGCATATGGCCACATAGCGATCATAAGAGAGATAGTCTGGTGGTGAAGTCAATATTTCTGTTTTGACACAATCCTTATAGATGATTCCAATACCCACTAAACTTTAAGACACACTGTTTTAAAATGGCATCCCCTAGTTGTTTTATTGTCTAAGAAGCTAACCAGCATTTTTGGTGTCACCGTGGATGATAACCAAGCGTCTACAAAAGCTAAATTCCCAAGGAGAAAATACATGGGTATGTGAAGGTGAGAGTCATTCCTGACGAGAGTGATCAGACCCAGGTTCCCCACAATGGTGATGAGGTATATCGCCAAGAACACCAGAAAAAGTGTGATTTCCCACTCCGGTGGATATGGGAGTCCCACGAGGACAAACTCTGTCAGCAGTGTTGCATTTTTCATTTCCATGTCATCACTGAATGTCCCCTGAAGTTAAATGTAGTTTAAAAAAAATCCAAATTAATAAGGATTTATAAGGTGAAAATTGGAGGATAAGTATTACTATAAAATTATTTCATAAAATGATAAAATTTACTTTTCACAATATGCACTTCTTTAATAGAAGAAAAGATTTTGGGGAATTAGAATGGCAAATACTTCTATTAATTCAGTTCAATAAATGTGCTCAAATAGAAGAATCTGAAAATGATAGACTAAGTTTGCAGCAAATTTATTAAGAACTATTGAATATTGGCAGGAAATTCTATGTTCTGGACATTTTCAGAGTGCAGAGTAAAGCTATTTAAATTGCCGTGATAATAAGCTGAATTGAATGTCGTGTGAAGAAATTTAAATTTTATTTTTCAAGTAGCACACTTTTGTTAAGATATTTTCAGATGTGGAATAATATACAATTTTCTTTTATTTGAATATTTAGTAGCATAGAAAATGCCTGCAGAGAGGGAAGCTTAAAGTCAGGAGTAGTAATCAGGAAGTTATTGCTATTGCCCAAGACTTATCAAACCATATTATACATCTCCATGACCTAGGGGAGCTCACTGTACAAAATATGAGTTTACATTGTTTGAGGTACTACTTGAGAAATAGAGTCAAATGTTCAAGAATGAGTTAAGAATTGTACTTTAAAATGCTCCTCTGATGATGTAATATGTCAGAGTAGTACCTACTCCATCTATAATGTGGCATTTGTAATAATTAAGATAAGGGAGAACTACTAGGTTTAGATTCCATAGCACATATTAAAAGATGGACAGCAAAGGAGAGTGATGTCCTTTAGGGACTGGGTAAGTAATCAGCAATAATAAAATTGTGAACCTCAGTCATGTCAAATTTGTGCAAGGACCATTTAGTTAAACACTGATCTACTAGATGCTAATAGAAGTAATAACATGGGTCTCATTGCAATGGTTAGAGGCGCATTATGAATAATGTACTTTAGTGAAGATACACAAAGAAAAGAGGTGAAGGAAAGAAAAATGTGGAAGTTTTATTAAAGAGATTAGATATTACAATGTGCACAGATGCCATTCATTAGATGGCCATATCTGAGCCCCTTTCTAGCACATGATTCTTTCTGGTAGGCAGAGTCTACCATGCACTTGAGAATCCAAAACAGGTAGGAACTTGTTTCTTTCCCAAGCCCCTCACACCTAGAGTCAAGGCACTTAATCTATATTTGCATAATCCAGCCATATATAGGACTTCTAATATGGAGAAATGTAGATAAATGTACAGAGACAACATAGAAAAGGCAACCAAAGATATAATATCAAGACTCCAGGAAATATTGTTCTTGTCTACAGGAATAGCATTGATGGTGTGAATTGTGAAATCTAAGGCCAGCAGCAGAGACAACAATCTTTATCAAGATAGTGCTGGGTCCTCACATGGCTTTTCATTGACTGCTTTGACTGCCATGTTTTCCTACATTCTTGAACAGCTGTTAAGCTAATAACTTTAATCTCTCTAGCAGTTTTCACTCAGAGCAAATTCCCATTTAAGCAACTCATTTCATATTGGTTGCCAGAGCATTGAACTGAATAAAAGAGCAGCAATATATACGATAAAAAATAATGAGTAGAGTGATCTCAAAAACAAAATGAAAAACAAAAAGCAGAGATAATTGGACACAAAGAAAGGAAAAGTACTACTTTAACAACCAAAGTAAAGAATAGTACCCAATACAAAAAGAAATGTTCTAGTAGGACAAGGAAACAAAAAAGTTATTTGATCATGGAAATGAAATTTTTAGCAACTTCGCTAGCAGCAGTTTCTGTTATGTAATAAAATTAAGATAAGAGAACAGTTGAAAGTATATTAGAAACAAGTAGCATAACAGCAAAGGGAATTAAAGAGGCTTTATTCATAGAAAGCGATTGGCATTTTCATATTGTGTGTAATCAAATGTAACCCCTACTTCCTTTAGAGCACTTGGATAAAAGTTTTAAAAAAGAAAACAAGAAAGATTAAAGAAGGAAATAGGATTGGAGAATTACAAAGTAAATTTGGGATAGGTAAAAGAAAACAAGAGGAAAGAAGAAAAAAATAATACATAAATGTATGTAGGTAGATATGCATAGGAAAAGGTCAGGCATGAGGACATGTTTATTTTCAGCAGTGTAACAAAGCTCATCTTCTCACAAGGGTTACTGCCTGAATGACAGTCTTCTGATGTTCCTATCTACATGATAGGTCTGGTAGTACTTATCAGTGTCCACTTCTGAGTACATCAGTATTTCCCTTCAAAAGTTGACATTCAAATCCAAACTGTGCTTTCTTTAGGTAAAAATACAAAAGAATAACATGCAGGCAAAGACAGGAAACTTACAAGTACAAATTCCACCCAGAATTCCACATTTAATATATTTTTATTTGGAGTGGAATTCTTTCCATGAAATACGAATTCACTAGAAAATTGAAAATGATAGCACTCAATTTGTTTATGGGCACTGATTTACATGTAAATGCTGGAGGCAGCAGTGGAAGAACATTTGTGTCATATTTTAAATATGCATAAAATAATGAAACGGGGTCAGAAATGAATGAAAGGACAGGGCTAGTATTTAAGTGACACTTAAAATAATCAGAATTATGGCTGAAAAAACAGAACAGGCCATTTCATCAGTATCAGAAATGTTTTTTATGTAAGGTTCATTATGACCTGAATATTTAAACCTAGGTTTAAATTGTTGAAATTTAAGATTACCATGTAAAATCATTAAAAGGAACAAATTTACTTCACAGCATTATTGCTGATCCATAAGTTACCTCAAAAATAAAATATGAAGACAGTGCACTAGCTTCCATTTTCAGCTACCTTGCACACTCAACTTAAAATTGTTATAAAATAAACAATCTTTTAATCTTTTTAAAAAAGAATTTAAAATAAAAATTATTTTTTGCTTACCTACACATTAAATGAGACTGTGGAGATCCATTAAAAGTCTGTCTTCATAAAACAGAAAAAATACAATAGTGTGGCCTTCATAGTAACAAACAATTATTTGCACACTGATTCATTTTGGAGTTTTCATTTCCCACTCTCAGAAAGTGTTATTTATATGTTTACTTTGAATATGAATATCAACTCGTTATATCCTTATGTGACATTATATGCTTTTCCAGAAGTGGAAGTAGTGTAGATCTGAAACTCCTCTTAAGAGTACCAGAGAATTCCCAGTAGGACTGAGTAAAACTATTCTACTGGGCTCTGTGAATTCAGACATGAACAGGAAGTCCAGGTTGTCCCCAGGCTTTACAGACTTCTGAAATCATAAACATCAAGTTATCACAGATGTTTTTATTGTAACAACTAAACATGCACTTTGACTCAATATTATCTATCACAAGGGATAATTCTGGTTTAATAACAGAAACTAGTTTGTATCCAAAATGTACTGCTGTGAGGGTTTTGGTATGGCTCTGTTTGAGCTAATCAAAACATGATGCTGATAATCCTGAAATCTAGTTCCTTGCAGGAACTGACCCCACGTATAGTTGTCATCCTCTTGAAAACTCTGTGTCAAGCCCAGATAAATACCTACCTTCTCCACTTTAAGATGAAAATTGATGAGAAGTACCACTAGTCAAATGTTAGAAGTAGCTAAAGAAAACAAATACATTTTCTTTTTTTTTTTTTTATACAAAGACAAGTTTTCCAGTAGAAGGTGACCTATATCTGTCCTTCACAAACACAAAAGCCCACTAATGTCCTAGAGAGCTTGTTAAAATGCAGGTTTGTTTCAGTAGCTCTGAGATCAAATTTGGGAATCTTACTTTTTAAACAAGTAATACTTCTCAACCCACCACCTATAGGGCCTTCAGTGATGAAGACCCTAGATTACAAGAGAGCCTTCATTCTTAGAGAAATCAAAAATTGTAAACATGACTGCCCTGCAAAGAGAGGAGGTGAAAGATTCTAGATGGTGCCATAGGGAATCAGCATTTAAGAGATCACAAAGAACCTGGGAGACTAGACCAGCACTTTGTTCTTCCCCCCAGGTTAAAGGAAAAACAATGAATTGTGAATATGGAAGTAACATGCTCAAATTTCCTTTTGCGTATAAACCAAATGGGTAATAAATAAACATTTATTTATAAAAATAAAATTCTATATACACATTATGACATTCATATTTGATATCTGGATACTAGTATATAATTATCTCTGTAGTTAAAGGTTTTTCTGAAATAAAAAGTTAAATCTCCATACCATGCCTGGAAAGATAGGAGGAAAAACTAATGGCATGCAAGGAGTTATCAAAATATGTAGTGAATCAATTATTATAGTTATTACTAAAAACAATTATTACAATAAAGTACAGGTTGTCATTAGTCCCCCTCAAAATATTCCCTCTTTCAGGCAATATATTCATATCATCATTTTTATTTCTGAGGCAGTTCTGGAAGTCCACTTTTGTTAGTGTCTCTGCAAAATGTGATCAAACATATACTGAATGCTGCTGTCAAGTGCAATCCAAGAGAAAGACAGGTTCATGAAAATATTATAATCTCTTCTTATCCACTTTATTTACCAGCTCTGACTGACCCCAAGCAACTTTGGGCTCTTCCTCAAAGTCAAAGTGACTGTGAAAGAGAAATGTTTTGAACTGATTGCAAACATCAAGCCAGCCATGAATGCATAAATAACAACACCATATTTTTTCATTACTCAATCACCATGATTGCTTGGAACTTTTCTGGATAAAAAGAAGTACGTATAAGGAAAAACAACACAGATAAAATAGAAGTCATTGTAAAAACTCTGCAAAAATATTGAATAAGTAAACTGATGTGCAGAGATACCTGTTACCATGATTGAAACTTGACTTATGCTAACCAGACTCTTAATTGTTTGTGTAACTTTTTCTTAACTCAAACTGTTGCCTGTCTTTGATTGTAAAAATTCCTCATTGGTGCTTCTAATATGAGCCTTTCTTTTTCCATTTTTATCATCTTAATGAGTTGTGACATACTTTGTAATTTTATTTGCATTTTACTTAAGGGAATCTAATATTTTTGTTTACACATTTGATATCTTCATATATTCATCTTCAAAATATCTGCTCACATCTTTTGCTCATGGGTCTCTGTCTGTGGTGCTGAGGATAAAACTAAGGCTCTTGTGCATGCGAAAGTACCGCTGAGCTACATCCCCAACCCCTTAGGCACATTTTCTAACTGGGTTATTAGTTTTCTAATTATGGACATTTTTATTAATCAAGTTTATTGGTACAGTTTAGGTATACATTATGATCACATTCATTATAGAGAATTTGTACCTGTACATGACATATCTTGGTTCTTATTTTTTCCATTCCCCACCTTTCTTCCTCTATTCTTTATTAGATACATGATTTTCAAATACCTTCTCAAGAATATTGATCATTGCTTTCTCCCGAGGTTATCACACTTGTCTGTTTCACTGTGCTCATTAGACCTACTGAACAAGAAACAGGAGCTATAGTAAATTTATTGGCAGTACTGTTGGGCCAAAAGATGAGCATAAATTGTACAAAAACCCAGAGCCCTTCTAACTCAGTGAAATCTCTTTGAGTCAGGGAAATAGGGCAGAACAAGACATCCTTTCTAAGGTAAAACATAAGTATTTTGCATATGAGTCCTTATACAACCAAAAATAAAATACAAAGTCTATTTTTTTTTATTTGGAGGCCATATATACTTCCCTTGAATGTGTTACTGTGACACATTTACCACAAATCCAAAACAGCTTCTATTTTTGAGTGGAATACAAGTAGGACAAGGCTGTGCAGCAGCTTTCCCCTTGCAAACTGATGTCATATAACTCAGCATCCAGTGAGGCTTCAACTGGCAGTGCTATGTACAATGTTAATTGGAGCCTTCAGTAGGCATCTATCGGTGCATCATAGGGTAGACCCTTAGAGTTTTATAGCAAAGCTCTTATATCTTAAGCATATCTCCACTATCCTTTTGAGAATATAGCTGTTGCCATGCTAATGGTATTTAGTGGAGGTTAAACACTTAATCATGTGTGCTGAGTTTTCCATGTTGAAATAGATTTGGATGTGCACAGTAGCATTCCATCAGCAAATGGATGTGGTATATACATGTTGGCCTTAAGAAGCTCCTGGAAGCTATGGTTTTCACTCTTTCAATACATTCTTATCTCTCCTATCATGAATTTACAGTTGCAAGGAGTGTACGGGGGGCGTGGTAGGGTCAATTGACAGAGAAGACAAGACAGAAGCCTGGATTACAGAACATTTTGCCTGATTTGTCAACACCACCCTTAAGTGAAATGCTACAGTACTGATACCCCTTTATAAACCACTCCTAAAAGACACTATTCAAATAAGTAGAACCTCAAGCACTTCCCTTTGCCTGGAAAGATAAATCAGGATATGTAAAATTTCCTATTGTGGGCTATATCCAATAATGTGGCTGGAATATTAAGGACTTCAAAGAAACATGATTGAAAAAATGATGGTGGAAAACTTAAAGGAATGTATGAGTAGTAGAACTAATGCATTGTCCAAAAATATGAAGATATTTGTGTTTCATTTGAATGTTCACCAAAGACTGACGTGACGAGGAGAGCTCTATTAGCTAATTTTGTTTCCTACAGTAAAATGGCAGAGGATGAGCATTTATTCATTTTTTAATTTTTATTTTTTGAGACAGGGTCTTGCTATGTAGTTCAGGCTGGCCTCAAACTCACTAGGCAGCTGGATCCTGCCTCAAATGCAAGGGAATTCTCATGCCTCACTATCACACCTGGTTATTATTTTTTTATTTATAAATTTATTTCACTCACAGATATGGATGCTGAAAGTTCCAAAGACATGGCAGCAACTTTAATGAGAGCTCCTATCTGCTTGTCTGTATAACCTCACAGTAGATGACATCACAATGTCAAGAACATATGTGAAGGGCAGATATGATGTCACCCTTCTAGAAGCCACAGAAATGGTAAGGGGATGGCAATAACTTCTCACTGAACCCCACCATTACTGAACACTTACTTTCATATCTTCATGTTCCATAGCATTCTGCTAATCAAATCCATTACTTTTTTCAAAAGGAAAAATAATTTATTCAAAACTAGCTCTGAGGAGATGGAAGGGCCCATTGGTCTCAAGTCATCACCTCTTCAGGTACAAGTGAGTAAAAGTCTTTCATAGTAAGAAACAGAGTAGCGTGGAACACAGGAGATAATTCAGATAGCTATGCTTGGCTTATCACTTCCAGTCTTTAAAGCTCATTATCCCTTTTCTTGTGGAAAGCAAAATGGGCTCTCAACTCCTGTGACCATCATAGGCATCATCTGTCTACTCATTCAGGCTTAAAAAGGAGGGAGTAGCCATTATGCCCTTGGCCTGAGAGATTTTTGAGAAGCCACTTACCATTAAGGGAAAAAACATTCTAACTTTTATTGTTCAATTTTGTTATGCCATCTACAACTCTCCTCTTGTTTTAGTCCAGCCCTCAATCTTGAGGCCTTGATGCCCACATCATCTGGCTGACTCTCATGTTGGATGGACTCATAGAGTCCATCAAAGGTATCTGATCCACAAGCAAAATCAAGCTAGGTGCTTGAGCCCATAAAAGGATCACAAAAAAAATTGTGATGTCAAATACAAAATAAAGCCCAAGTCAAAAGATACCTGATCGTTGCACTTGTTGGAAGGGATTTTTACTTTTTGACAATCATGTATAAGAATCTTTTATTTGTATTTTAACGTAATACAAGTAGACATTAATTAATCAAATATAAAACACATCCCTCATCTATGAAAAATAAAACAAACTTTCATAATGAAATAATTTGAGGATAACAATAATTAATATACCCTATGTATTATGATTTTAAGAGAATGGCCAAAATGTTACTCAGAGAACAAGACATAGACCAAAAAAAGAAAGATTCTGCAGCTCTACTTATTTTATGGGCTTGACAGGTGATTCTTTGATGCTCACAATTTTCTCAGTTTGTCTCTGAATGCTTCCTCCCCCACCCCCCTATTTTAAAGTTATTGCCAATTAACCATGTGTAGCTGTGTCCCTTAGTACTGGCATAGCTTCCTTTAGTGCTGGTCAGGCAGAGAAGGTCCCACGTTGGAGGGGATGTGACAGATAATTGGAGTCAATGTTGTAAGCATATCTTACTAAATATGAGCAATATCAGAGATTCTGAAAGTGGCTCTTAGGCTGAATTTATCAAGTTCATTGCCAAATCTAGTCCTGTGTATTCAGCAGTTAGCATCTCAAAGCACTGGAACTTCAATAAATAGTTGAAAGTCTTACAAATATACATAAAACAAAGCCCCAAAGAGCAAAGCAAATTCAGTCTATATGGCAGACCTGAACGAAGAAATAGTGCTCAATTTAATTAAATAAACCCAGCATTTTTGTGAAGCAACCTTAGTTCCATCAGAATATGTATTAAGCATATAAAGTCCCATTTTCTTGTACCAGTTAGGAGAAAGTACATCATTTATCAATATCAAACTGATAAATACAGATCTATAAAAACTTGAGAATTTTTTAGGTAAACTAAACAGAATTGTAGTCATTCTAACTACAGTTTACAAACATTAATCTCTATTTTACTAAGAATATATATATATTTAAAGTAGAACTGTTTCTTATTGACCCAGAGGAGTATGGTTTCTGCCAGTTATATAAGTAGTAACACAAGGTAATGATTTCGCAAAATAATTTAGTTACTTTTACAGCACATTAACTAATAGTCATGACTCACTACATCATACCAGAACAATTACATCTTTGATAAAAGGTAAGTTATATTCAATGCTAGTATTTGTAACCCATGACACAGCATTATTGTCTTTATAAAGTTATCACACTCAAGTCCTTTGGAAAGAACTTTAATGCTCAGTATACAAATTATGCAAGAAAACAAGATGTATATTGTTTTTACTTATTTCCAACATTTATTTTTTGTATGACATGAATAAAACATTAAGATTATTAATATTTATTAATGAAGGGATACACACATTGAAGAAGATGATAAGGTACAAAAACTCAATTCATCAGCATTATAGAATTATAAACATAAAATATTTTAATACTACTGAAAATTATTCATATATTCTTCCACAATGCTATATTTATTCAAAGGAGATAATAATATGAGCTCTAAGCATTTCTCTTCAACATTTTTCTCAGCGAACCCGTGACTTGCTTGTTTCTCAGGCTGTAGATAAATGGATTTAACACAGGAATTATGACAGTGTAGAATAGAGAGAAGATCATTTCCTGATCATTTTGCTTTGAAGATGCCGGATGCACATACATGAAGAGAAGAGGGACGTAGTACAGACACACAGAAAACAGATGGGCTCCACAGGTAGAGAAGGCTTTGTTTATACCCTTTTTAGACTTCTTTTGTAAAATAGTGAAGAGAACAAATGCATAAGAAAGAAGAATAGTCATAATGCTGAATACTTGTATCGAACCAGAGAAGATAAAAACAAGTAGATAATTAAGAGAAGAGTCTGTACAAGAAATCTTAAGCAATGGTATAACATCACAATAAAAGTGATGTATTATGTTGGAATTACAGAACATTAATCTGAATAAAAATCTTTCATGAATTAAGGCATGAAGAAAGCCACCTACAAATGTTAGAACTAATAGCTGGATGCATCGTCTACTGGTCATAATCACTGGGTAAAGTAAAGGTTTGCATATGGCCACATAGCGATCATAAGCCATTGCTGCCAACAGAAAACATTCTACTGTTACACAGACTGCAACACAGAAAAATTGTATCATGCATTCTGAGAAAGTTATCATCTTGTTTTTGCGTAATAAGTTCACCAGCATTTTTGGTGTCACAGTGGATGATAACCAAGCATCTATAAAAGCTAAATTCCCAAGGAAAAAATACATGGGTATGTGAAAGTGAGAGTCATTCCTGACGATAACGATCAGACCCAGGTTCCCCACAATGGTGATTAGATATATTGCCAAGAATACCAAGAACAGGAGAACTTGCCACTCTGGCTGACATGGGAGTCCTGTGAGGACAAACTCTGTCAGCAATGTTGCATTTTTCATTGCCATTTCCTCGCTGGATGTCTTCTGAAAAGAAATGCAGTGAATATAAACAAAAAAGATTTACAACAAGAAAATGGGAAAATATGAGTTGAGGGAAAATCACTATACATTTATAAAGTGCATATGTCAGAATATATACTACTGTAAGGGAAGAAAATATTTTTGAGGAATTTAAATGGCAGAAACTTAAGTCAATAAATATGCAAAATTGACAAATTTACAGGGAACAAGGTGCTTTACAAGATTTTGACCAATTCATTGAGAATTATTGAATGTGGTTATAAATTCTATGTCCTAGACATGCAGAATCTCAAGCAAAACTATTTGGATGGTCATGAATTGAACTCCTTGAGAAGAAAGTTGAATTCAATTTCTCAAATATATGGAATGATATGGTAAAATATTATTTAAATTAAATATCTGAGATAGAACACATTGCCCATAGAGGAGAAGCATGTAAAGTCAAAGATAGCAATCAGGAAGTTGCTGTTAGTGTCTAGCACTTCCCAAAGCATATTCAAGATTCTACTGTGCACGGAAGCTTATCGTAAACATCATACATTTTGAGGAAATAGTCATAATGTATTATGAATTGACTATTAAGAACAAGACAAGAATCTGTATTTTTAAAAACATTGCCCATAGAGGAGAAGCATGTAAAGTCAAAGATAGCAATCAGGAAGTTGCTGTTAGTGTCTAGCACTTCCCAAAGCATATTCAAGATTCTACTGTGCACGGAAGCTTATCGTAAACATCATACATTTTGAGGAAATAGTCATAATGTATTATGAATTGACTATTAAGAACAAGACAAGAATCTGTATTTTTAAAAAATATTATTTCTTACACATGAATCTGTTTGATAGGTAGGACTATTTCATACTTCAGAACCTGAAAGTCATAGGAACTTACTTTCCCATGCCCCTCACACATATAATAACTCATGAATTGATCTCAATTTATCTAAACTCACATATTCAGGATTTTTAATGTGGATAGGTAGAGAAAGTATAGAGACAATGTGGCAAAGGCAACCAGAGCAATAATATCAAGATTCCAGGAAATAAACTCCATTCCACAGAAATAACATTGTTGGTGTGAATCACGGTACCTAAGGCCAACAGCAATGACAGAAATCTTTATAAAGAGGTCTTGGGTCACAACTTGGCTGTGCATCTGCTGCCTTCTTTTCCTATCTTCCTGCCCATCTTTCAAGCTGATTCCTCTGTCCTCTGTCTAGCACTTTTACTTTTAGTAAATTTCCACTTCAGAAACTCATTTCTTAGTGGAAGCTAGAGCACTGGATAGAGCAATGGAGAGGCAAAAGAGAGATCATAAAAATGATGATCAGAGTGTTCTGAAAAACCAAGGGGAAAGTGAAAGGCAGAGCTTTGTTAACCAAATGAGACGGAAGATCCTCAAGAGTAACAAAGCAAAGTATAGTACCAAATACAAAAATAAATGTTCTAGTAGGATGAGGAATTAACAGTTATTTAATTGAACCAAGATAAAGTGTAGGATCAGAGGCTTGGATGCACATGTTTCCTTAATCCTAGAATTCATTAATAGTTGTCCACTGAAAGATATTTTTTTTTCATTTGACTCAAAGTACAGGGTATTTTTGTCTGGGATTTAGCTCAGTAGTTCCACCGCCTGCCTTGCAAGGTCCCAAGTTTGAACGCTGGTACAGAAAAAAAAATGTGCAAAGTACAGAGTATTTTTCTTCCATGGACTTAGAAGAGGCCTTATGCAAAATCCTGCTACAGAAATTGGGCTATTCATAAAAATATTAGCATTTCCTAATATTCTTTCTGCATCTAAATTTTCTGTTATTTTTAAAAAGGACAGAATGAGAACTATAGCTTTAATCCTTAATGATAATGTATACTGGTAAATTCCCAAGGTAGTAGATTTGGAGTACTCCTACCACTACCACTAAAAAAGCAGCTATAAATATGGAAAGCGGGAGAGGGTGAAGGAAGGGCAAGGGCATGGAGAAAAAAATGGAACCAAGATATATCATGTAAAGTACCAGATTCCAATGATGAATATAACCATAGGGTGTATCTAAAAAGTATCAATAAACAATGTAAAATAGTTATAATATGAGATATAGGATGATATTTTGCTTTTATTTATTTTTTGCTTGATTTTCAATATGAATACCAAAGCATCATGTGGCAAACCTGAAATATACATGATAAAAATTGTGTTTCTTTGTCTTCATATTATAATATTTGAAATGAACTGATCTACAGCCATACCACCCTTAATGCACCTGATCTCATCTGCTTTTGATGTAAGATGTGGATAAAGGGTTGGGCCAATTTGTAAATGACACCTTAAAAGTTTAAATAAGAATTATGATTGATTAAATACAATGGGCCATTTTATCAGTATAACCAGAAATAATTCTGATATAAGCATTACTAATAAGATTTATAATGGTTTTTATATTTAAATCTAGTTTTAAATTGCTTAAAGTTTCCTATCATAATACAAAGTCATTAAAAAGAATAAATAAGTCTCATAGTATTATTGTTTATCCATATTTTAGCTGAAAAATAAAATATTAATATGCTATTTTTCATTTTTATCTTGCTAATTTTGTATCTTATAATCCATTGTAAATAGTTACAATTTAAATAATATTTTAACTTTTATATAAATATTTATTTGAATATTTTAGCTTTTATACATAGAATTTCAAAATGAATAGTATTTGTCTTACCTACATTTTAAAACAGAATATGGACATCCTTTAAAATTATTTCATAAAATAGAAAAAAATACAACAGCACAGGATTGATAATAACAAAACCGGCAATTTTTTGCACACTGATTCATTTTAAAGTTTCATTTACCACTCTCAAAAACATAGTTTATATAACTTTGCATTGATCACAAGAGTCATCCGGATGTATAACGTTGTGCTTCTTTCCAGAGATGGAAGGAGTGGAGATTTGAAGTTCTCCTAGGAGCACAAGAGAGCTCCCAGTAGATAAAAGAAGCTATTCTACTGGGCACTGTGAATTTGGCCACCAATCAAAAGTTCAGATTGTCCCTAAGCATTACATACTTCTACAATCATAAATATCAAGTCATCATAGATGTTTCACATGTGAAAAACTAAAATTACATTTGACTCAAAATTTTCTATCAATGTGACAAATATGTTATACTCACAGAAACAAGTTTTTATCTAAAGCATACTGCTCTGAAAATATTGAATACCATGCTTCTATCTGAGCTTTTTTTCTGGGCTCTTGTTGCATGAAGAAGTTTTCCGTCCTTTCACTTTCAGTCTATGGGTTTCTTTTTGCACTAGCTATGTCTTGTATACAAAATATTATTGGATTTTGCTTCTTAATTCATTCTGCCAGTCTGTTTCTCTTGATTGGTGAATTGAAGCCATTGATATTGACAGTTATAACTGATATATACTAACTTATTATTGTCACATTTTTTTCGCCTTCTCCTTTTAGATTCTTACCTTTCCTATTTGATTTGATCTGTTGGGCCTCATTGTGTTATGACCTTCATTGTCTTTTTCTACTATAATGTTTAGAATTCCTTGTAGTGCTCTTTTGGTATTCATGAAATTTCTCTGGTGTTCTTTATCGTGGAAGTATCTTATTTCCCCATCCATGTTGAAAGAAAGTTTTGCAGGATACATCAGTCTAGATTGGAAGTTGTTTTCTTTTAGTACTTGAAATGTCTCATTCCATGCTCTCCTTCACCTAGCGGTTTGTGCTGAAAAGTATGCCGTGATTCTGATGGGCTTTGCTTTGCATGTGATTTGTTTCTTTTCCATTACTGCTTGTAGTATTTTGTTTTTTCTGTTGGGTTTCTGGGATCTTGATTATTATGTCTAGGTGTAGATTTTTTGTTTATCACATCTAGTTGGAGCCCTATATGCCTCATTTATCTGTATGTCTAATTCTTCCCCTCTGGGAATTTTTCTATAATTAATTCTGTGAACAGCTTTTTAAACTCATTTTCATTTTCTCCTGCTACTTCTTGTATTCCTATCAGTCTTATGTTATTCTTCTTTGCATCGTCTAAGAGTTGTTGGATCAATTTCTCATGATCCCCTACCGTTTTTAAGAAACCTCTCTTTTCTCGGTCACTGACTGCAATTTTATCTTCTATATATGAGATTCTATCTTCAGACTCTTTTATTCGGTTGTGAACACTCTCAATGGAGTTTTTAATCTCCTGGATATCTGCTGGGTTGATTCCATTTCTTACTTATATTGGGCATTTATTGTTTCCAATTCTTTCATATGCTGGGCATTCATGGCTGCTATCGTGGTCCTCAGCTCATCTATTTTCCCTCAGTTTCTGTTCTAGAGTCTCGAATTATAACATTCATTTTGCTCATCATCTCTATGATTATCTGGGAGATTACTTCTGTTTCAAATTTCTCTAGAGCCTGGTTGATCAGTTTTGTTACTTCCTGTGCTTTGAGTTCAGGGTGCTCTGATGATTCACTGTCAACCTTTTCAACCTTATTTGCCCCACTGTTTGCCATTGGTGAACTGGAAGCCTGTCCCTGTATCTTGCTTAAGTGTTTTCTCATTTTTGCTATTGTTGCATTATCCTTAGTTTAACATTTAGGTTATTACTTAAATCTTCCTGATATAGTTGGGCTTCAGCCCATGGGTCTCTAACAAGTCACAGACATTCTCATTTTCATAGTACCAAAGAAAACAGCTAAAGGAATCAATCCTGATCCTTTATCCTAATTGATTCAATCAGCATCACAATATGATCAAGCACAACTTGCAAATTGACCACTTGTGGTAGTCATCAGTCTATCACCTTCAAGCCAAGTGAATTAAATTAAAATCAAGAAGCAATCCAAAATATGTTTGCAGTGAATAAGCTTTTCACTAAGGATATTTACCATTTAGGATGAGGGCTTAAGACAGAGTTAGGAAAAGAGGAGTAGATAAGTAAAAGAAATAGAGAAGGTTTCACATATAGCCAGAAGATGTAGAATGACCAGACAATTGTCAGGAAACTGTTAAATTCAAAAGGGATAAACAGAAGTATAATAACCCTTGAGTGAGGTAGAATGACATAAGAAAAGAATATAAAGAAAAGAGGAAATAATAATAAAAGAAGAAATCTGAGTTAGGACAGGAGCAGAAACAAAAAGGGAGATGAAGGAAAATATGGTGTAGCAAGAGACTGAGTTGAAGAAAGAGGACAGGAAAAAAAAAAGAATTTGTAGAGTAGAATGAAAAAAAGAAAGAAAAAAATTAGTTTGAAGGGCCTCTTTCAGACTATATAACTGCTGTCATAATACACAACATGTGCTGCCATGTGCAATGCCAAGTTCCCTGATCTCAGTTAGCTGGATGCAGGACCAAACTGTGAAGACTGACCTTGGGCTGACAGGCCCAGACTGTGTTCCCTGACCTCCTGAAGGGTTGAACTCCTTTCAGTTCTACTAAAAATTTCCCTCACCCCTTCTTTAGAGATGTTGAAAGTTGAGAGTGCCAGAAAGTACCCTTTATGACCACCTCTGCCTCTACAGAGTAGTTCTAAAGACCGGCACAATCAGGAGTTCTGAAAGTGTGAGGGGGTCATGGGGGATTCATGAGCACCCATGTGGCTACTTTCCTGGAGTTGAAGATGGCAGCAGGCCCTCTGGTGCTGAAGGCAACAGAAATAATTTATCAGATAATAGCAGAGATTGTGCACACAGTGCAAGACATCATTAATAAATCTAGAGCAGAAACAGACAAAAAATAGAGGAGCAGAGGAACATGATGGAATCCCAATATAGAAAACAAATGGAATCCATAAAACAGATGCAAACAGATTTCCAGAAGATTAAAAACTCAATGGAAAGTTTAAGAAGCAGAATGAGCCAATGTGCGAAGAGAATCTTAGATATAGAAGCTAGGATTGCAATCAGTGACCAGGAAAAGTATATTCTCTTAAAAATATTAAGGGACCATGGGAAATCAATCCAGCAGCTACTAGACAATGAAAAGAATAACATAAAATGGATCAGAGTCAATGAACAGACAGGAGAGAGTAAAAGAACATAAAAAAAACTGTTCACAGAAGAAATGGCAGAAGACTTCACAAGTTGGGGAACAGAACTTGACATTCAGATAAGTGAATCATATAGAACTCCAACTAACCATGATAAAAAATGTATCCATAGGCATATAAGAGTTAAGATTTGAGAAACCAACAGAAGAACAAAATTCTACAAGCAGAGAAAAGAAACAAATCACATACAAAGGAAAGCCAATCAGAATCACTGCGGACTTCTCCACACAAACCCTTAAGGCAAGAAGAGCTTGGAGTGATGTATTTCAAGACCTAAAGGAAAACAGCTTCAAACCCTGACTGATGTTCCCTGTAAAACTATCGTTAAAAATTGATGGCGAAATAAGATACCTTATGATGAAGAACACCTTGGAAACATTGTAAATACAAAACCAGCACCCCCAAAATTTTAAACAATAGTCTAGGAAAAATCAGTGAGCATCTCAACCCTATGAATCCCAGCAGAATGAACCCACCAGGCACAATAAGAAATTATAATTAAAGGGGGAGAATTAAACAAAAGGAAAAAGACATTACAAGGATAAGTCAGCCAATATCAGTTATAACCATCAATGTTAATAGTCTCAATTCACCAATCAAAAGCAAAAGACTAGTAGAATGGGTCAAAAAGTACAATCCAACAATATGATCCATATAATAAACACACAATTAAAAAAAACCTCATAGACTGAAAGTGAAAGGTTGGAAAACAATACTCCATGCAACAGGAACTGAAAAAAAAGCACAAGTACCTATTGTCATTACAGAACAATTGGATTTCAAACCAACACTAATTTAAAAAGACAAAGAAGGATACTACATCCTTGTAAAGGGAACAATCTAAGAGGAAGAGATGACAATCGTAAATATATATGCACCTAACAGTAGTGCACCCAACTGTATAAAACTAATAATAACATATTAAAAATCAAATAAGCGCTAATACAATAGAAGCTGGGAACCTCAATATCCCACAGTCACAAATAGATGAACTAGACAAAAAAATCAAAATACTAAAACTCAATCAAACTCTTCAACAAATGATGATAACAGATGTTCACAGAGTGTTCCACCTCACAAAATCAGAATACACATTCTTTTCAGGTGCACACAGGTTGTTCTCCAAAATAAACCACATACTTCCTCACAGAACATGTTTCAGTAAATACAAAGGAACTGAAGTTATCCCCCTGTATATTATCCAACCATAGGCTGATTAAATTGGAGATCAATAGCAAAAGAAACTACAAGAACTTTATAAATACCTGGAAAATGAACAAAACACTTCTGAATAACCAATGGGTCAACAGGAAATTAAAGAAGAAATCAGACAGTTTCTACAATTAAATGATAATTACAGTACAGCATATCAGAATCTTTGGGATACAATTAAAGCAATCTTACAGAAAAAATTCATAGTAATGAATACTCATTTTATGCAAACAGAGTGAACTCCATTAAACAACTTCAATGCTGAACCTCAAACTTCTATAAAATTCACTGAAGGGGAAACCCAAAGTTCAAACAAGGGAGGAAATTATAAAGATAAGAGCAGAAATCAGTGCAATAGAGACTAGTAGAATGCTCCGAAAACTCAATGAAGCAAAGAGGTTATTATTTTGTTTATCAAACAAAATTGACAAACCTTTAAGCAGCCTTGTCAAAAGAAAAAGGAAAAAGGCTCAAATCCATGCTATTTGGAATGAAAAGGGTGAAATTACAACAGGTGCAGCAGAAATCCAGAGGATCATCAGTACCTACTTTGAGAATTTATATGCCAATAATATGGAAAACACAAAATAAATGGATTCATTCCTGGATACATATGCATTAGTTGAACAAAGAAAACCTAAAATTTCTAAACAACCCTATCTCAACACAGGAAAGTGAAAATGTAATTAAAAACTTACCACCTAAGAAAAGCCCAGGCCATGATGGCTTCACTACTGAATTCTACAATATATTTATAT